AGCCCTGCTGGATTCCTGCTGTAACATTCCTGGCTGCTTGGGAGCTGCTGCCAAAACGAATCGAGCTCGCTGCCCTCAGGAGAGATGTGAATGTTTTTTCCAAGGACAGCTTTGGGGGCCCTCTGGTCAGTGTGCCTGTGTTTGAAGTGATGAGTGTGGCGTAGCATGCACGAGAGCAGCCAAAGCACTCCCAGCTGCTGATGGTGCTCATCATCAAACTGCTGCTGGATCCTCCCTCTCTGCTCCTGGAAGCTGTCTGGGGATGGAAATTGTAATCAATGTGGTTATTCCTCCTGGGGAGCAAAGGCTGGACTTCTGAAACCCGTGGCCTGTCTTTCTGCCCGTGTCCCCAGAGATTTCAGTGTCACATTCTGTTCCTCTGAAGGGCTGGCTCTGGGRCTGACCAGTTCTGTGCAGGAGAGGCTCCCCTTTGGGCACAGACACCACAGTAAAGGGCAGTGCCAGCAGTGCCCACGAAGCCTCTGGAGGAGAGGCAGGGTCAGAGAGACACTGCTCAAACCCCAAGATGGTTTATGCTACAGTAATTCCCCCTTTTGTCTGATTTACTCCTGCTCATACTGAAAAGCAAAAGTATTTCCTGGAGGGCTGAAGGCCCTTTTCGAATTTTCCATTAGTGTTTTTGCTGTTACTTTTCTGCAGCTGCTTTTTTAGGCTGTCCTTTGTCTGCCTTTTGGGTTCTTTGAATTTACTTGAACTGTACATYTATTTTTCCCGAAAGAAAATGCAGCAAACTCATCGAGCAGCTTTGCCCAGCGCTGCTGTGTGATGGTGCAGGGACCCAGGGCTCATGGGCACGCTGTGACTGGGACAGAGCTGTGCCCCTTTCCTGAGCACCAGCTCTGCTCTGCAGCCCAGCAATCAGCCTTCATCCCCGAGTCCATGTGGCACAGAACCAAACCATTTCCTAAGCTAGCCCACTCTGGATTTTGCTAGCCATGCTGTGCCTGCATCCCATTTTTGGGAGCTATCAGATGCTTTTGAGTTGGGACAGAATTACAGAAAGAAAATAGTGTGTAAAATCTGCTTTGGCTGAAGTTATTTATTTCYTCTTTCAGAAACTGCTTTATTTTAAATGCCCTTTCAGTCAGAGCACTTAGTGGCAAGGTTCTGAAGGGCGCTTTTGTTCTGCGGGCCGTAGTGTGGCTTCTCAGTGAAAAGCAAAAAAAAACCATCAGCTCTCCCTAGAAGTCTGTGGTTAGGAGGGACAAAGGCATTTTTCTTGGAAAATGCAACAGAAWTGGTACAGTGTCTTTGAGAATGAGTGTGCAGTAATTACTCTGAGTGCAGTTCTCTCYGTTAATTATTTGACATCTGTCTTTGGTTTTATAATTGTTTGGAAAGCGCGTGGGCTTTGCGGGGTCCGTGCTGCTAAAGGCAGGGAATGATGCCTTGCTGAGGTCTGTTTGGGAAGGGTGTTTTATTAAAAAGGTGTTTTATATGAAAATATTCATGTTTTTTTCTGGCATAAAGGCCATTTGTGACCGAATGAAAAAAACAAAACCTTCCCAGCCCCTTTGCTGCTAAGAGCAGTAAACRCTTCCCATGACTGTGTTTCCCCCCACCCTACTTTTCTTTGCTCCTCAGTAGACAGAAGGTGAAAGTTTGAAGAAAAAAGTGCTCAGGAAGGAAAAGGGAGCAATTTCTGATTTGAAACAAAGTGAACATTTCAAATGAAGTTCCTTAAAAAAACTTCTAGCAAGGGCTGTGATGGATCGTTTTCCCCAACCGCTCTATGAATTATTATTAAAATGTTAATTTATGGAGACATTAAGAACACCTCAGAGTATATTGGTCTCGTGAGAAGTTCCTGGAGTGCTGAGGATGTATCAGAGCTCTCCAGCTGCCTTCTGGCTGCTCTGATTGCCTGCTTTCTAGCTGCCGTGTGATTTCTGAGCTGGTAAGCTCTTCTGCTCACTGATTTTATTCCTGCCTCCCTTTAGCATTTCCTTTTAYTTTTATTTTCACTGGGTGGAGCAGTGGGGTGAAGCCCTCTGCTGCAGCCTGGGCTTGCACTCCCTGGGCTCTGGCTCTTTTGGGTGCAGCCCCAGATGTCGGTGTTTGGTGCAGTGCCACGGAATTGCGCAAAAAGTTCACCAGACACCACTGGACTTGCATCATATGCAGGAAAAATGGCAACATGCTCTCTCCYGTCACGAAACACAGAAGCAGGTTGCTGGGAAGGATTGAGAAAACTCTTCCCTTCCTGGCAAGACCAGGGTGGGCTGTAGTCCTGTGGTCTCAGATTYTTGAGGGCATTACAAAACTCACCCCTCTCTGCAGTGGGATGCAATGCTCTCTTCCTGTGTCACCACAGGACTGCTGTGGGAAGACCTTTTTATTTGGGGAATTGCACAGATTTTGGGCTRTTTGAAGCCAAACATCCCAGTGCTAGCAGCACTAGTACACAGAAYCTGTCCCTGCACCGTATTAGTACAAACCATCAGATTGCATGGCTTTGCTTTTTTGGTTTTGGGGGTTTCTTGAGGAAAAGGAAACAGGAACGGAGCTGGACTGGCWAATGCTGGCATGGTCAGGGCATCCAGGAGGCTGTGGTGCCTCCCCTTTACCAGCTTTTGACTCTGTCACGTCCCTTCCACGGCCCCCCTGCGTTTTGTATAGAGTGAGAGCAGCCAGAGCTGTGGTCAACTGTGACCCCTTTCTGTAATGGAGAAATTGCTGTAATCTGACAGGCTCTGTGTCCCTCTGTCTCCATTGATAAGATCTCTGGAAAGCCTGGAATGAGCCAGAAGTAAATCACTCAGTGTAAGCTTCTGATTTTATAGCTGGGTAGAGCAAGAAAAAAAGGATTTTCCTACTAGCAGGCAGAGCATGGAAATCTTGGATACCTTGCTGATGGGAACAGAGACCTGGTGGATCTGTGAGACAGTTGAAAGGAGCATGTTCTTGTGAGCATAGCTAATGGATGTAAATATTAGCTCGCTGCAGAGTTCATGTATCACCGAGTGAAACGTAGTAGTTTATTTTGGCCTCAGGCCACRCAAATGGCCTTGCTCAGTACAAGAGAAACTCATCCAAAGTCAGTAGTTGTTCCTGCTCGCTTTGGGGCTGAATTCAGTCTGATWTGTGCAAAATGCAGGAGAGAGTCACTGGAAAATAAGGGTGAGCTAGGACACGCTGTGCATTTAGCTAATGGCAGATGGAGAGGGAACCATGAGGGATCTTTATTATGGGAATGATTCCTCACCACTGTTTACACCCCCTCTCTTCGAGCATCTCAATTACCAAAAGTTCCTAAATTCCTACCAGAAGTGCCGCATGTTGGATGTCTCTGTCCAATCTGGTGGCATAAAGATGTTTTATCTTTCTTCRTCATTTCCAAGGGGTAGGAGTACTTAATGTTGTTTCTTCCCTATGGAGTCTTAAGTAACATTGGGAGCTGGTTGTAGGTGGTAATAGAGAGGGGTTTGATAAGCAGCTGGCATTTCAGTTTGGAGGAAGGTGGTAGGGGATGATCAGCCCTCTCAGCTGGACCCCGGGGACAAAAAAAATCTCACATTTTTCCCTGCTTCTTGACCGGTTTTGAAAGCCTGGTGGCTTCAGAAGCAGTGTGCAGCCCTTTCCATGGGCTGTGCAGGGAAGAACAGGCATGCTTCAGATTTCCTTTGTCTCTTTGAGATGAGCCCAGCAGAGGGAAGGCATTGCACAAAGGCTTTTCAGATGTAAGCACTGAAAAGGAAGGATTCAATATCCGCTGCTGGGTTTTGAGTAGCGCGGTTCACGTGTCGCATTCTTGTTAATCTCTGCAATCTGTGCAATCTGAGGTGCTCTCTGCTGATGCTCAAAGCCCTTCTGTGTACTGCAGATATTCTGGACAGGTTTTTGAGGGACATGTTTAATGGACCTCTGTGGCTTCTCCCCCCACACTTTTCATGCACCCTGGTGGAGCAGGTTTCTCTGTCATCTCATGAGCACAGTCCTGACAGTATCACCGTGCTCATTACTGCATCTGCCTGGCAGAGCTGAGGTGCTTTGATGAAGTTCAGCCTTTTAACCATCTCTTCTCCCTTTGTGATCTGACAGCACCCAGGAATATCAAATGTGACCTTAACCCCCTTAATGAGAGCATCTAGTAKATGTCAGTTTTCATGGCTACCAGCTTATAAATTGCATCCTGAAAAACCTAGAAACAGAGGGAAATTTAATTCCAGTGAGTGAGCAGCTCTGAGAGCCGAATGCCAGATATGGGAGCGGGCAGCCAGTGAAACTCTGGCAGTGTACATTTATCTCAAATTACAGGAAATTGTGTTCTGTAGCGGGAATAGAAAAGTTTGGGATTGTTTTTTGCTTATCACTGCTGCWAAGAAGGTATAAGCCTTTGTTTAGATAATTTCTGAAAAGTGTGCAAACCTGTTTACTCCTGCAGGTTCTRAGGAGGGTTTGACTGGGAAGGTGAGGYRCTGTCTTGCCTCCAGTGGCTGCAGRAACAGGCTGAAGYAGTCTGTGGTGGCAGCAGCCCCTTTGCAGCCGCCCTTCCCAGCTGGGACTGCTCYSCTGTGGTTGTCCTGTCAAGTGTCAAACCCGTGTTCAGTGCAAAATGTGCCACAGCCACCACTCACCACCGTGAGTGCTTTCTGCACTTGCCTTGGAGATGAGCAGAAGGAGGGTTTAGCAAAGGACCTTCTTTCAGGAGTCACAGCGTGGGATTTCTAGCCTGTGTCTGTTTGACTCCCTGTGCTCCCGGATATGGACTATTCCCTATTCCTGTGGCTTTAGTCACTGAGCTGGGCTGTCCTCTTCAGAGCCATCACCTCCCGGGCTTGGCACGCTGCCTGCGGGCAGGGCCACGCTGCCACACGGGCACTGTTCTTATGGGATCTTRATGAAATAAAACAGGGCCATGCCAGAATTAAAGGATCACTGCATGGATGGAGGGATAAACACATGTACTCAGAGTTACAAAATGGCCTGCAGTGATGGAACAGGGTCAAATAACCAGGTCTATGTGCTTTGTCTTGCAGGATGAAGATGGTCAGTGTCCTGCTGGTTTCACTCTGGCTGTCCATGGTCACCCTCGGCAGAGGCTCAGGTAAGGACATGGAATGTCATGGACATGTACAAAGAGGAGGATTTACATTATTTCAGGATTGAATGGCTGTGTGTGAAATAATTCAGCAAAATGCATGAACATAATGTTAGTTGTGGGGGTTATTGTACAAAATRCTCTGTGTAGGGGCTGCAAGGTTGGTGTGAACGGCTCTGTTAGCAAATAGCAACAGCACCTCGACCTAAAAGGACTTTGCAAACTCAAGCTGCCCCCTTGGTCACTATGGTTATTGCCCTTCTGTGAGGGGTGAAACCAGGGCTGGGCACATGCAGCTGCTTTGTTACAGAGCTTCAGGAAGGACCCGGGCTTGAACCTGAACTCTGCTATTCCTGTTGGATCCGGAGGGGACTGAGATTCAGCTCTCCAATTCTGACTCATGTCTCAGCAATGCACGGGGAGARGGGAACTTCTAGAGTAAGAGGAGCTCTGATACCCGTCTCACTGAGTCACTTTCCTGACAGGAAATATGTTGTCATGCTCGCAGCTCCTCTGGCACTCGTTCAGCCCAGCTCTTGTGAAGAGGCAGATTGTGCATGTCTCGGCTCCGGACTTCCTATTTGGGGGTGGAAGGAGACAGCATGATTTGCAGGAGGCGAGTGGAAAGGGGGAGGGAGGAAAGAACAGGAGCTGGTTTTATGGGGGGAAATGTTTGGAAATAAGGGCTGTGCAGGGGATTGGGAAGTCCCCCCGTGAACCCTTGTCCCTCTGCAAGGCTGGCAAACAAGCAGTTACAATACCCCGAGCAGATGAACGGCTCTTGTGTCATTGCCTCTTGGACCACGCTGAGTTACTGTGGCCAAATTCACAACATGCACCTCAGCAAGGTTCATCTCAGTGCAGTGCTCTTTGCAGGGGCTGAAGCTTGTAAGGTTTTTCTCCTCGGGCTGCCTAAGGGCTGCAGGCACTCACAGTAGACTCTGATTTTCAGCAGGGGATGCCCCATCTTGGCTAAGAGGGGCTGGGTGGAAGTGRTGAGCAAAGGGGAAACAGGAAAGGAGAAAGGATACACACCCTGGGTCTCCTCCACTGAGCCCTAGGTAGAAGGAGTGCCTGGGGAAGGAGGGACCCAGCCACACTGCTGCTCGCTGGGAAAATCCCTGCTTTGCTTGTGCTTCTGGACGAGCTGTTCTGCTCTCCACCAACGCAACATCCTCCTCCTGCTGAGGCAGCATTACAACACCCCACGTGCAGTCATCTTGGGCTTTTTCAGAAATGGGAGGTGGGTGCAGTTGAATCAGGATTGCCCAGGAAATGTTAGAGCAACTCTAAAAGCTGGCACAGTCTGCTGGGAAGGAGTTGATTTCAGTCAGGTGAAATGAGCACCCAGGTTTGTGCCAATTGATCTGGCAGAACCAGAACCATCCAAGCATTTCTGCAGGGCATTTAGWGCTCATAAATATTTCTCCTTTAGCAGAGATTTGCTGTACAGGGTGGTCAGAACCCTTGTAGAGTGCTGCAAGAATGTAAGCCAAGGGGTGATACACGAGACACGTGATCAGTTAAAATGCACTTTTCCTGCCAATCCACTGCAATATATGCATTTCATTTCCTGCAGGTCTGTGGGTGTCAGACACACTCTTCAGTTCAAAGCTTCCTTTTTGTGCCATGGACATCATAAACCAGTTTGGGCTGTCAGAATGTCCTTTATTATTCATGATGGGCTTGGATGGCTGTTTGTACTTGGATGGAGGGGCAGCCGTCTGTGCAGCCCTCTGTTTCACTGYGGGGTTTCCTGGGTCTGGCACCAGAAGGAGACTGGAGCTCGTTCCACCCTTGCAAAGTCATAAACACAGAGCAGAATGGGAGACTGGCCTTGTTCTGGTAATGTTGCAGCATTTGGGCTTGCTTTTTCTTCTAGGAGCAGGGAGTGTAGGTGGGGGGAGCAGAGCTGAGCTTATGTGGAGTGAATGCAGAAGGGCTGTGCGCAGTCTAGAGCTGCCCTGGTGGTCACCCAGCACCAAGCAGGGCCATGGAGATGAGTAGCTCTCTTTGGGGAATCTGGCTCTTGGGATATTTAACAAGTGAAACTTGGTAGGGATTTGTAATTTCAGCTGAGTCTTTTCCTGTGCTCTGACTATTAAGTCATGTAATGCTGTATTGAAGGGACCAGCTCTCTCTCCAGCCCAGGCTGGACTGAGGAAGGCTGGAGACAGGGACAGGAGTCCTGTTGTGGTTTGCTGTCACTGTTGTGGTTTGCTGCCACTGTTTGTGCCTCTGCCATCCTTCCTGGTGGAACAGTCTGGTCAGCAGCTCTGACCAGGGACTGCCCAAGCCGGGGGTACTGACCAGCTTTGCCCAAGCCAGGAGTACCAGTCAGAAGCTCTGTGAGGTTACAGAGTTGCTGATGAACCAGCACTTGCTACATTTCAGCTCTAAAATATCAGCACTGCTCTGGCTACAAGTGGCCTTTCCATCCAGTTCAACTATGGCTCACAATGTCTCTAGCAGTGTGTCAGAAAGCTTTAGCATTGTGCTTCACCCTGCTTTCTTCTGGAGAGATAAACCCACAAACTTTATTTCCCCTCCAGGTTTTGCCTATAGTGCTGTGGCTCTAAACATCTGTTCTCTGGGCTCTGCTGTTTCTGCTGCCTATGGAGGCTGGTGCTGAAACAAAATCATTTGCTGAAAGGGAGGTGCAAGCTGTATGAGGGAAGAAATGTGATCTGAGCAGTGTAGAGTAAAAGATGTGGAGTCTGAGGCTGAATTGGTGCCTGAGTCTTCTATTCGCTCACACTGAACGTGTGGGCAAATTCTTCCTAGTCTTGAAAATGTACATGATCTACAGTGCATGAGTTTGAATTCCTTATTTGGGACCTTTGGGTCAATGTTTGCAGTGGTATTCAGGGTCTTCTGCTTTCCTGGCCTAGCTGAGCCATCCCTAAGATGGAAACAAGGCTCTGCACTGGTGTTTTAGGATGCTTAATGAACCCAGATGTACTGATGCCAGAGAAGAATAACAAAAACTGATGGACCCGGGTCTGGTCGTACAATAGTTTCTTTGGCACTACTGAAGTCATATAAATATGCACTGGCTTCAAAGAGATGAAAAAACAGACAAAGAATAAAACAGCCAGTATGAATAGAGAACAATGTTATCTTCGTGTTTCTGAACAAAGCTGGCCAATGTTAGATACCAACTTATTTAGAAGATGTAGCCGTAATTGTGCTCCTTGTTCCATTTTTTTCCTCTCTGCTAACCAGGCTGCTCTCTCACCCTCCAAGAGTTCTCAGCTTTTGCAGGGTAAGGGCTGGGGAGATGATCATGGCTAGGAGTATTGTCTCAGGGAATTGCAAAAGCAGAAGAATATTGCTGCCAGCAGAGGAGGGGCGGCCTCATGCTGATTATCTAACGGACCCACGTAGTGTGAGCAGGTACCTGCTGTGCWTAAATAGCCCTTTGGTGGGAGGAATCATCATGTTTGCATAGGAAATGCCTCTGTAGCTCCCTTGGGGGCTATCAGACAGGCTGTGTGGTAGGATGAGCCCAGGGCTGGGCCAGAATGATACCCCAACGTGGCAGGTAATGGCTGGAAGGCAGCCAGGAGCTTCTCTCCTGGGAGCTTTATTTCAGGCTTTGCTGTTATTTGCTGGATTGTGAACACGTCTATTTACACTCCCCCATATCAGAGGCTTTCAGCTACTTTGGTTTTGTCTGCTCTGAAGCTGGCTGCAAAGTGCCAGATGTCACCAAGGCTTCTGGATTCAGGGGGTGGCTGGAGTGGTGGAGTTCTGACTGCAGTGAGAAGGAAACAGAGGTCTGGCTCCAGAGGTCAGAGCCACTGCCTGCACTGTCTCCCCCGAGTGCTGAACTGCATTGTGTGTCTCTCTCATGCTTAGCAGAGAGGCAGAACTGTTACTTTTGGCCAGGGGAAATTTACAGATTAATAAATTACTGTCTGTAAAACACTTTGAAGATGGAAAGCCCTGTGCAGCTCCTCAGGATTATTACTATATGGCTCTTATTCTACTGATGGGGTTCCAGTGGCCTTATTTTCCTTATGATTTGTGACAGCCCCAGAAGCTGAGAAGCTTATTTTAGTGTGTAAAGTCAAAAGAAAAATAGATTAAACTGCATTATTGTTTTCTAAAGAGACTAAATCCCTCCCCCACCATCATCTCCTGGGATTTCCTGACTTCCTCCTACTCTTCCAATCTCAGCTTCTTGCTGTCCTAATTTAGGACRTGATTTTATAACCATCCATACCCATCTGTGAGCTACTGTGGTTGTAGAAGTTTATGGCGCTTGGGGGCATGAAGTCATTTGACACTGAGGGYGTTGAAAGGTGCACAGCTCTGGAGTGGATGGAGATAAAACCCGTGGAGCAGAGCTGACCTGGGAGCAACCACAGCTTCCTTCCATGCCAGCCAGAGCTGTGCCCGCTGAGGAGATAAAACCTCCTGTCTGCTTCTTGTYAGCTGAGGAAATGGGTTGTGAGGGGTGAGTTCAGTGCAGGCGTCATCATGGTGTGACCTATCTGCACTGAAGAGCAGGGACGTGGGGAGGAAAGCAGCCCTTTTTAGGAGTGTTGCTGATGTGGTATTGAACAGGCACTTTTGCTGCTCTGTGTGTATCAAATAGGGCATCAGGGGTCATCAGGGACGTGTCTGGTACCCACCAGCTCTGTCACATCCCCTCCTGTAGCTGCAGAGTTGTGCTCTCACTCTCAGATGTTTTGTGGCACCCGGGTGACTCTGCTGGACCCCTGACRGTGCCCTTCACTGCCTGCTGTGTTTTTTCAGTTCCCATCCTTGTCCGAGGACAACTGCTGCAGCATCTTTGTGATGCAGACATCCCTGTGGAAGGACAGGAGGAACTGCTGACTATTTTAAAGCCAGCASCAGAGCACCTGGCTGAGAGCAGGAACTGGGCTGCAGGGTTTAGCTAAGCGGGCCTGTAGGCAGAGCCAGGAGTTCAGCCTGGACCTTGTCAAGTCCCAGCGTGGTTTCCCAGGCATCAGAAGAGTTTGAGCACAGCTCAGCAG